TTTGAACTGGTTTTCAGAACAAGAGTCAGGATCTCTACCGTTGATCTTCAACGACAACAAGTCCGCGCTTGCGTTGAGTCAGACAACCGTAGCCACGAAAAGATCCAAGCACATGAGTCTTCGACTACACCTAGTACGAGACTACGTAAAAGACTTGTGCTATGTAAACACGGATATCAATCTAGCGGATGGATTGACCAAACCACTTCCAGGAGAGAAGTATATCCAAATCTTCAAAGCTCCCGCAAGAAAAGCTAATGAAGTATTTGCGAAAGCTCATTTTGTCGATTTCAATAATCTCTAGGATTCATTGATTCGAATTTCACACGAATTCATCACATCTAAGATTTCTCGAGATGATTTCATGTTCATTCGGAAGGGGGAATGTGAGCATGATCAAGAATTTGTTCTTGACAAGCATCCCGATCTGAATTGACTAAATTGAAATCACGATGTAAATCACGATGCTACGATGATGATTCAAAATGAGGTCTCATGCAAATCACGATGCTCATGAGAAGGAACAAAAATGAAGCTCACTCTAATCCCGCTCTGTGTACTAGTGACGATCAACGATTGTTGATCTGATATTTTTTTCACAAATTTAGGGCGATTAGACAAATTGGAACTTTCATGATTTACCCCCCTGACTGAGACGTCAAAATTTGTGTGTTGTCTGGAACGCTAAATTTTTCCCCACAGGCTGTGACGATAGTCACCATAGATTGATTGCGACTAAGAAACACTGAATCCCACTTAGATTCTGCTTGACATGCAAGATGGCCAGTGTTCACACCGCCCGCGTTTCTTCGTCGTTGATTGTCTTCACACCGTGAAAATTCGGTTGACATTCTTGAAAAAAATATCAGATAAACAATCGTTGACTTGATCGTCACTAGTACACAGAGCGGGATTAGAGTGAACTTCATTTTTGTTCCTTCTCATGAGCATCGTGATTTGCATGAGACCTCATTTTGAATCATCATCGTAGCATCGTGATTTACATCGTGATTTCAATTTAGTCAATTCAGATCGGGATGCTTGTCAAGAACAAATTCTTGATCATGCTCACAGTGGTCTAGTTGTAGATGACGATGTCGCTTTGTAAATCGGGCCGCGCGGCATTCTGATCATGATAAGCAGACACCACACAACATACATAATTAATACTCACCTCAACCTCCATCGCCAACAGCAAGATGAAAATGATGATAAAATCCTAGAAGCGACATGAAGACGGAGGGGATACATTGACTATCGGGAGCTTGACGTTTTATGAGCGTACCCCTTCGCCAGGTTTTTCATCATTTGCGCTACGTTTACTAAAACTAAAACTATTAATGTGTACTCTCTCAAAGTCAACCATCGCCATCCCCATCGAATTTGCCACGAAAGACATGTAGGAAATTCTGCGCCTGCCATGCAGAAAGCGGATGTTGGGGATGGTTAATTTTTACACTCCGAAAGCATGGGTCTAGATGTATGGGGCGCCGAACTCGCACACAACTTGCCGGGCCGGTTTCCGGATGGGGCAATACAAGAGGGCGCCGGGGCTCCAGGCAACGAGGGCCCAGCCTTCCGCTGGCCTTCCAGGCCCACGCGCAGCGGGCACGCGCGCCGCGCCCCGCGATTTTTTTAGCTGCGCACGTCTCCCGGCGAAGCAAAGGGGGGGGCGGGGGAGGTTGGTCTCCAGCGGGCCGCCACCGCCCCTTTCGCCACGGCGAAAGGGGGTCGAATTGTTGCGCAGCCTGTAAAGCATGACAATGACTACGAAACTATCTATGGCTGAGGTACAGACAATGAGAAGGAACTAGCAGAAGCAGAGAGACAGGAGAAGAGAAAAAAGGAGGGAAAGAGGACCGGAGCAACAGGAAGGAGGTAAAAACCGTGGGGATAAGGTGAGAGGAGGGAGGTAATGCAAAAAGTCGAAAAAGTACCTTAGTACAGCAGGGAATTGTGTAAATTCTTCGCCATGCAGAGAGAGCTTTCGCCCGCTCGCTCCCTTATCGATCCTTTTTATTTGTTTTTGTATGCGAGAAAAGCTAGCGCGCTCAAGAAGCTATCGCGCAGATCTTCTTTTCCAATTGTCACATAATGAGCAAGAATCGCAGCGAAAACACACCACGACAGACCTTCGCCGCTGGCTCTGTTTTCTGGCCTCTACCTAGCCTCGCCGAAGGCGCGCACTTTCGTCAACCCAATTCAAGGCGCTAATTTATTTGCGGCGGTTCTCTACGTGACCGGCTGACTCCTCGCCCCTCGCCCGGGATTGCCTCGCTCCGCGACTTTTTTTTCTCTTTTTTTTTTTGCCCGCCATCCGTGCGTAGTTGCGCGTCTTTTTTTCCTGTTGCGCGGCTTGCTCACCCCACTAGCGCAATGTGCGTTTCTGTTGGTTCCGCGCTTCGCGCTACGAAGTCCTGTTGCGCACTAACTAACTTGCACGCTTTTTCGCACACGCGCCCAAGCTGTCGCTTTTTCGGATTCTTCTTTCGCAGATACTTTCTCCGTTTTCTACTTTTTCTCCGCACTTTCTGCAGCTACCAAGGGTAGCCGCTGCTTCTCTCCGTCCTTCCCTATGCCCTCCTTTTCGTCCTCTCACTCCCCGTCCCTTTTCCCCGCTTTGACTCTTATTGGATCACAGTGCCGCACCTAGGTAATATTTGCGTCGCACAAGTGTGAGAGTTTGGATTTGCTTTCAGAAAAATGCGAAAAGTTTGAGCGCTCCCACCTCTTGCAGCACCCTTTGAGGCCTTCTTGTCTAACCGCGATTTTAGGGCGGGCGAGAGCATCATCAAATTGGTGCTTTTTTAATACTATAACAACTATAAACCGTACTAAAAGAGTAGTAGATCAGCTCCTATTCATTGAATTTTGAAACAATCAAGACGCTGCTCTGCTTCTCCTCCACCGCAGTTTAACGATTCCAACATGTTGCCAGCATCAAATTGGTGCTTTACTAGTAACCGCTCCCTGGTGCCTGCTTGCGTTTTATATTTTTTGCCTAAAGTTGTAGCAGCTAAGTAGTAATTCGGAGGTAACAAGGCGCTGGACCTCCAGCGGCCGCACCCAACAAAAGAAATTGAATGCAAATAGCTAACCTAGCCATGTACTAGTGGCACGCAGCCCAACCTCCACTATCGCGGCGAAAGAAATGCCTCTCCCCCGTTCGCCGTTTCTGAGCCGCCCGGTGCTATTTCAGTGCAGTCACCCCTTGTATCGGTCGCCGGGATGCATTGGCTACACATGCCTTTGCAGTGGAGGTTGCAATCCTCGCAGGACATGGCGAGAAAAAAATCTTGGCAAATTCTCTTCACGTCATTGGCGTAGCTTCCCCCGGCCACACCGCCAGCCGCCGGGTCGAGCGAGCCGCCAATATCGAGCGCGACGTCTTTCCTCTGTAAGCACGCCGGACTTTCCGCAAACGCTTCGGCCGCAATGACTTTCATGAAAGATCCGCCGGCAAACAGGAAGATAACGGTTTCACTCGGAAACCGCTCACACTGCTCCGCCATTGCTTTCTTGAGACGCTTCTTCGTGGGGCCATCGCAGGCATCGTTCTCTTCGCGGCGTGGCGCCTCGAGAAACGCCACCCGTGTTGGGAAGAATCGGCAGGACACGGCACTCAAATGTGGCGGCCCAATGAGGACAAGTGGGCGCCGCGCTTGCTCCATCATTTTCCGCACGACTTCGTAGCCAGGGAAGCCTCCCTCGTCTGCGGGCAGGTGCTGGTCTTCAGCTCCTGGGGGCAGCATGTAGAAACCCCAGGGAGACCAATGGCCGCTAGCGCGTGCACCTTCTGCTGTGTGACGCCATGTGGGGTCTGACAACATTTCCGAGGCAAAAGCTTCCATACGATTGTGCAGCCCTCGGTGACTCGGTTCGGTATCCAGCCAATGGGGCCCCACGGTTCGAAGCAGGAAGGGCCACGATGAACTGCGCAGAACGCGAGACACCTGCTCCGCCAGGCACAGAGTCATTCCCATCCCGTCAGCGCTTATCGCTGGCGTGTCCTTGTCCACACGAGTCCAACTGAGTAAATGGTTTGGCCATAGGAGTTCGATTTCAGTCTCGCCAAGCCGGAAATTCACAAAGCCATTCGGCACCACCCACACACCCGGGTCCATGAAGTTGTCCCAATACTTCTCCAAAGTGCGAAAAAATTCAGGTTTCGGCGTAGCGAGCTTTAGAAACGACGGGGGAAGCTGGGGGTACGCGCTCCCCGTCCAAAGCGACAACGCATGACAGACACCAGAAACACACAGAAACGACGTGGAGTTGGTCGCGACCTCGGCTTGCCGACCATCCTGTCTCTGCTCCTCTGCCTCGGCCTCTTCCCGTTTTTTCTTAAACCCGTTTGTGATCTGCGGTTTCTTCGAAACAGTGACGGCTGCAAGTTTGAGAAAAAAAGCGGATCCACCAGGTGGGCCAGAGTTGAGCTGCGCATCGACAGCAGCGCATGCCCTGATTTGATCGGGCGTGAAAGAACTGACACTCAGCACTTCTATGCTATGCAAACGTCCCTGGGTCTGAGCAGCTGTATGTATTACTAGCCTGCGAAATAAGCGCACTGCAATGCAGACCCCAGTGCGACAGGTTGTCACGCTGCGATGTGCTGCCTATTTCGCATGCCGAGCTGCGTTTTCGTTTTTGCATGACCAGGTCGAGGCGTTCTTCGCGAACATCAACATGAGTACGCAGTACAGAGCCAAAGGCAGCATCTTCTCATGGCATGCAGGCATAGCGAGCCTATCAATCTTCCAGACTGAGAACCGTTTGCATTGCATACTGTCGGGACGGGTGCAATTTCCATCTTTGCGAAACCGCTCCCCTCCGTCATTCCCATTGATAAAGCGGACGCCTGGAATCTTCCCTTCTGCCGCATAGACGCCCCAGCAATAGTCCCCCGCCGAATAAGGGAACAGCTCGGCGTCGTGGTCCGCAACGTATTTTACAAAGTTCCAAGAAAAAGCCACTCCATGTGCACCGCCGGCAAAAGTTGGGTAAGTGTCGCGAGGGTAATTTAGCTCGGGATGTTTGTCTTCCTGCGGGTTCTTTTGCACTTTCGCTCCGTCATAAAGACTTCCAATGATTAGCTTTTCTTTCCGGGGATCCAAGCCGACCGTAGGCACTTGCTCACTTGGGCTCGGAAAGAGAAATTGATGCAACATGGCAGGCCTCGCGTATGAATCGTCATCGATCCCCATAACCCACTTCACACCGGACGAAAACTCCTGCGACGCTACCCAGTGGAAAGCCGCTTTCCACTTCTCCGTCGCGTTGAAATACACATCCACGACCGGCAACAGCACCACGTCGCCGAAGGCCCTTGCTTCTTCGTGGAGTGCTTCCGTCAGCTGGCACTCTTTCTCCGTCTGCTCCGCAAAGGCCGCCCCTCCAATGTTGCTGGCACGATCGGCGTCCAGCGTGCAATTCGCGCCAGGAGCCTTGACGCTGTGCACCACTCGGGCGGCAACAGGAATTTCGCAGCCCTGTTCGCCCACCGTGAAATAGGATGCCCAAGGACTAGCACTAGTGACGGCAAGTTTTTTGCCTGTCATCGGGCGTGTTGGCTTCAACCACGTCTCGCGAATCGCTTGTCTTGCAGCTGCATGTTCTCGCGCAGAGTGAACGAGCACGAGCATTTCCGCCGATCCGTCCAGGGTCGGGGCGGCAAGGAAAGACTCTGCTTCATCTCCCCGCTCTGATGGTGTTCCACGACCACTGCCAATGCTCGTCAGCTGTAGGTGTAGGCTTTTGCTGCGTGCGCGTCTGGTGATTTTTTTTTCTTGTTCGCCATTGTAGGATGCTAATGCTTTCGGATGGTCAAAGTTCAAGTTTCTCGATTGGCGGCTCGCATGTGTTTTTGCTTTAACTTGTTCGGGCCGACTTCTTCGCAATCCCGCCACACCCAGCAAGAAAGAGGTCTCGACCCCAAGTAGAAGGACGGCTGCTGCGGTTGCTGCGGACCGCGTGGTTGAGGAAGAATTCTTGCCACGAAAGCTGGTAGCACAACCCGAACCCGATCTGGCGCTGCTCTGCCCCTGACAATACTCTCGCTCGAGATTTCGACTCAGGGCCTCGAAGAATGCTATCCCCCCGCACTTTACATCGCAGACTCCTGCTCGTCGGCCAGAACCGATCATGTTGACTAGAAGGTAGGGGCCCTATCGCAAAGAGAAATCCGAAATGACGAGTGACGAGATGAAATGCTCTGACTTCGAGTCCCCTTCTTAATTGAAACTCTACTCAAAGTCAAAACTACGGGAACGTCAGCGGAATCATTCAACGGACAAGAAGCAGGTTGCCAAAGAAGGTGCTCTTCTCTCAAGTACTGGACTACCGACGAATCTCTCTCAATAAACTGGACTACCTCTACTGTCCGGCTTTCACCTAGACATTACAGGCATTCAAATGGAGCACGCCTATAATTGCTCAAAAAGACAAAGATCTAATCCACCCATAAGTGCGTAGTTTATTTTCCGACAACTTCTACAAAAATAAATCCAAGAGAGTAGATATCAAAATAACGAACGCGGTGGCGAATGATCTTAAAACTATATCAGTAAGCATCAAGAAACTCGAGCTACAAGATGCAGAAAATCACACACGGCGTGATAATATTGATATTCATTGGCAATAATAACAAAAAGTAAAAACAAAAGACAAAAGCTACAATCAAACTAGGAACCCTAAACAACCCTAGAACCCATTAAACCCTGAGAAGCCCCGCGTCGACGGATGCCCATCTTGTTGTTTGCGATGTTCCCTACATGCGTATTTTTTTGAAAACTGGAAAAGAAAAGGAAGGACGAAGAGAAAAATCGAGCGAGGTGAAAGAATCTCTCGACGGCGGCCTATGATGACCATTCCAGTAGCCAGCCGGAAGTCCAGCACAGTAGTGCTTCAGCTGCACTGGCTCTAAACCTGTACAGAGTACTTGGCGCAAGTTTTAGGCGCTACGCTACTCGCCGCGCACGCCCATACCATTCCTATACTATACGAAAAGAGCAGCGTGAATTATCAGGGGAGGGGGAGGGGGGGGGACCCCCGGGTCCGGGGGGTTCCCCGGGGTNCAAGAGGCCAGGGCCTTCGTCAACGAGCTAATGCCTAAACGCGGCCAAACCGCGGGCCGCAGCGGGGGGGGGGGGGCAGCAGGGCCCAAACCGGTGCCCGGTAAGTGCGCCCATAGCATGCATTTTTGCGATGATTTTAGGGGAGGCAATTTGTGCAAGTTTTATCTTCCTCCCTTGGCTCCCTTGACTCCCTTCGAAGTTTCACTCCCTTGCCTATAAAATACTCTATATATATTGTGAGCGAATAGATACCCCTGCGAGGGGGTCACTTGTGCTTTAGCCTGTTGTTTTCGGTTCAACTGTTGCTCTCTAGGTTGTTTAGCTGTTGTTTTTGTACACAACGTCCGACCGACGGACTGTGTAAGAACGGCCGCAACCACTTTGCGACTCAGCGAGACAGCATAAGGCTTAGGAGTTCTCTTCAGGCCTAAGTTGTCGCGTTCTTATGTTTTGGCATCTTCAGCTTCTTGTTGTAGTTGATGCCGCTCACAAAAAAGAAAGATCTCAATTTCATCATCATCATTTATCCTGCACTAGGGGGGGGGGGCGTGCGGAGGTTTGGGTTCGAATTCGTTCACGGAGGTTCGAATTTCATAAAAATATCCAGCACAGCACGGACGGCTGGGTCATGTAGTGCCTGGACCGAGTATCAGCGGGTAAGAATACTTGTTAAGAAGTGCGTCAGCTTGTACATCATAGTAAGTAGTACATGATCTACATACTCGCACAGCCTGCGCGTTTCTCGTCTTACTCGTTCCCAGTGAGTACTCCAAATCTTGATTTGTTTTTCTATAGTTTTCAACGATCGTTTGAAAACTTTTCAAATTTGTTCGAAAATAAAGTGTATGTCTTATACTGATTCTTAGTGTGGTCTACCGCGTAACGAGTGTAATCGGTCGTGTGTGGGGGAGTTCCCTCTCTTTTTAAAAGAGCACGCACACGACTTCTTCAGGATCAGGTGTTGTCAGCTAGTACATACTCATACTGTAACTCGAGTTCTCCTTTTTCCTCCTACTACTACTTCGTTCGTGTGTATAATTCTATAGATCACTCTTTACCCTCTACCTTCTCTTCTTACGTCAAGAGTTCTTGCGTGATCTCGTCCTGGCGAAACAAATCTACCTTCGCTTTTAAGAAACAATTGGCAGTCGGCTTTGCTCGTCAATAAGAATCTGCACCTGCGCTGGCGGAGAGGACGTAGGAGAAGCTGGAGCCGCCCGCCCTTGCGTAGCGGCAGGACACTGCCTCTGCAGTTGTTGTACCTCCAATGATGTGAGCTTCTTTGGCAGAGCCAAGCTGTGCCTTTGATTCCACTTGCGCGCCGGTCCTTTGCCCGGCAATGGGCCCGACTTAAAAATCTGCATGATCTCGTTTTTCACCAGCTCGGTGAGTTTTTGGCTCCAAAAGTCGATAGTCCACCCGTTTTCAACACCGTCGAGACCACGAATGCCCTGCTTTTCCAGCCAAACCAAATAAGCTTTCCAAAGCTCTTCCTTCTGGCTTGCACACAGATGCTGTGAGAGGTTAAATTTGCGGTGCGCCTTGTGTAGCGCATCCGCGACCGCGCGGCTGGGCTGAAACCTATCAAATGCAAATATGTCTGGGTCTGGAAGAACCATGCTGCTTTTGCATGACGCAGAAGGTCTGGCATGGAAGCTCTAGCAGCAAAGGTTTCGAGAAGCTTCCGCAATGCCGAATCCGCATGACAAAAGCCCCATTTTCGTGACAGAATGTGGGCAGCTTTTGCTGGCTATGCGTGAGAGATTTTTATGTGTTGTGAAATGCGCATCACAAGTTGGCATTCTTCCAGACCCAGACTACATAGTTGCAATGCATAAAACCAATACTTTGCCCACTCTTGCGCAGCATCCAGGTCCATGGACGCATTGATGCTCTCCCTCTGAGGGTCATCGCGCATATCGATGGGCATATCGATGTCCTTCATTTTCTCCCAGATTTGTTCGTAGTTTACCCCAAACCGGGCTTGGTCAGGATTTCCCCGCACCGCATCCACAAAGGCTTGCTGGCCTGGCTTCCCAAAAAATTTCTTGGAAGACGCCCCGGGCGTGAGCTTGAGCGCACCATACCGGTACCGAAAAATCACCCGGTTTACTTATCCAGTGTAAACACAAACATCCGCACCCAATGTTTATTGGCATGCAAATCTGCATGCCTAAATTGTTTCTCACGCGCGACTCCAACGTGAGTGGCATTTTTTGCTAGTGCTGTTTCGAAATCATTTAGCGCCGCGCTACTTACAATCAGGGTCAGCTGAAGATCCATTTCGTTTTGTGATGCTGCTGCACTAGTAGCTAAACACGGCTTCTACACAAGAAACCCAAGGTGCGTGTCATGCGCTACAGCCAAAACTTCTCGGTTCGTGTCGCAATGAATCTGCCATCTTCTTGACTTTGGGGTGGGAACGTTTTTCCTCAGGGTATCACTGCCGCCCTGTACAATCCTGCTGCCGCTGCCTCTGCTCTACGACCGCGTACTAACGCCCTCTTCCCGTCCGCGCCACCCAGCAGCGACCCCGACAGGAAAAACGCACACAAATACAGATATCAACGGCAAATATCAATGGATGTCTGGAAACTTGTCATGCGGGTTGGACAGTGATGAGGGCGCCGGCCTCGATGGACAGCGAAGCATGAGAAGTTTTCGAGTCGCTAGTACTATGTGTTGCCCATTCTGCATCGCAAGGCGCGGTCTTTCTGCATGACAGCAAAGAAACTGGGGCGTTCGGGTACTTAAAAAAACGCACATGACAGACTTGAGACTTCTCATGCTGACCGAGCGAACATGACAAACCTGGCATACTTCCAGACCCAGATCTTCGATATTTGCAATGCATAACCCGACCAGCATCACAATAGTTGTGCTGCGCGGCCAGGGAGAGCAGCAGTGTGGCAAAAACCGATCATGATCCTTGTACGAAAAGATAATTATTCCTCTGACTGTGGAGTTATACAAGGAGTCGGTAAAAAAATAAACTGAGTACTATGCTAGAAGAACAACCCAGGCGAATTTTTCATCAAAAAGGAGCGACGGCACAATTAGAGGTGTTTCGGGACAATTCCTATACTATACGAAAAGAGCAGCGTGAATTATCAGGGGAGGGGGAGGGGGGGGGACCCCCGGGGTCCGGGGGAGGGGAGGGGGAGGGGGGGGGACCCCCGGGTCCGGGGGGTTCCCCGGGGTCCGGGGGGGGTGCCCGGGGTCGCGGGGGCCGGGGAGAACCCCGCCTCCCGAAGGGAAGACCCCGCGTCCCTTTCTCGAGGAAGGGGGACCCGAGCCCGGGTCGGGGATCCAAAACCCCTCCTCCTCCTGTGGAACACGGATTTTGCATCGGCAGCCTCCGCCTGTGAAACAGTACGCCGCACTTAGCCTTTTTATTTTACCGCAAAGCGCCTGGGAACTCCAGGTTAGAAGTCATCTTTCTACCGGGACTCTCCCGTGCCCTTTAGGCACAAACCCCACGGAATCCCAGCAATGCCGCCTGATTCCTGCTTCCGCACCGGTGGGACCGCCTTTTATCGCATTTCCCCCCGTTTTCGCCTGCTTTTATAGCGTTTTTCTCTGTTTCCATCTCCTTGCCCCTCTGCGCCCTTTCCTTTTCGCCCGTTCTTGCTGCTTTCTCTCCTTCTATTTGGCACCTCCAGCCCGGCTGCCTCCCCCCCTTCGGGCTTCCACCCTCCCCTCCCTTTCCCTCCCTTTCCCTCCCTTTCCCTCCTTTCCCTCCTTTCCCTCCTTTCCCTCCTTTCCCCCTCCCCCCCTTCCCCTGCTCTAGAGTCTGTGGCCCTTGCTACAGCAAGCGGCACGGCTGCGCTCAAGTACAAATACTGCGGTCACACGGATAACAGCTAGTACCATACAGACATACGTACGTATGCGCCACACCTTCTCTCTTTCGAAATCGAAGAGCCGGTAAGCTAAGGCAAGTGGTCGTAAACTATTCTCATGTTCATCAACACGAACACCAGCTGCAGCTGCGGTCGTGGCCCCTGCTGATCCGACGGTCTGATCAGATGACGGCTCGATGAAAGACGGCGCTTTCGCTTTCGACGGCGAATTTTCTTCGCAAACTTGATTTTTAGCAGCGCAATATCAACACTCGGACATGTTGGCGCTATGTTCTCTTTATGCAATCCATACCGATACAACTACTGGAAATAGAATATGGACAAACTAACATACAGGGGAATGCATGCGATTGTGATACTGGTGGTCATGATGTCGCTCATGCGAGACTTTTTCCGCATATCGCTCTACTACGTGCAATCATGTCTATAATTATATTTCTTTTCTCGTTGTACTTCTATTACACATCCTAAAGTTGATGATGTTGTACTTCTATTTATTGTCCATGCCTTGCTAACCTTTTCGGTCTACAGTCGCAGTCGGACCAAAAATCGATGGCACGTGACATCGCTTAAAGAGCGCACTAATTGGCTTTTCCGGTCTTCGGCGAGCATCGCCACATGCAAAGTAATTGCATTTACGACTAACGAAGTACGAAGGCAGCCCCAGCTTTATATCATTTAAATGCGCCCGAGAACTAATTTCACTTCAAACAAAGTTCAAACGAATTTCCAAAGTTCTGAATTTTCACGTGTGCGACCTGTTGTGTGTTGCTTGATTTTCATGCAAATCGATTCACGTGTCCGAACTGCAACGCAGGAAGCCCAGCCGTGCCGCCACCGCAACGGAGCCCGGGTCAAGGCGCACATAACCCGAACAAGGCGCGGGTTCGGCACAGAACCAAGCGCCGAACCCGAACAAGGCGCGCATCGCCATCATAAGGCTAGTAGCTGCAGACACGTCTACCCACTGCTCCTTGGAATGGCACCAAGCGGACGAATCACTCAAGCTGGACGCCAAAACCATTTCACGACCCTACCGCTCACATCATCTAAGTGCCAGCACTTCTCTGCAACGACGTACATTTATCAGAGTCGCTCGCGCTCCTTTGCTCCTTTTGATAAATTACCAGACTAATACATAGCGATCGTTGGGGCTGTTCTCTCTGGGCCTCAGGCCCCCCCTCGTCCCCTAAACCCCCCCCCCTGAGACCCCCCCTGAGGCCAAAAAAGCCCCCCCCCTGAGGCGCCCCTGGAGGACCCCCCTTTTTCCCGAAGGGGGAGGCTAGCCCCCCCCGTAGGCCCGCCTTGTTTTTTCGCGCTCGCGCACGTCTTCCCCAGAGAGAACAGGACGCAAAGCGGTCGGCCGATGGTCGCCGATCACGTCAAGCAGCGCGCGGGCGAACAATCCGGGGCGGCGCCGCGCGCTTTGCATTTGGGCTGGTCTGATGATTATCCTGCTTACTGAGGGCGGGGCCACTTCGGAAAACAATGGGCCTCGACTTTTGTTCTGCCCTTGTTCTGGGGCTTTAATTGCGGGCGGGCAGTTTTGGGGAAAATTTCATCCGCGAAGGCGTGCCAGGCTGCCGCGCACAAAAGGAAGCAGGCAAAAGGAAGGTAGCAGAGAAGGCCGCACCGGGCCAAGATCAATGCGCGCGCAGCTGCCTTTGCAGAGTTGGCCTCGCAGACTATTGCTCCGCCGAAAGGGCCAGCCGCCGCGCTGCGAAGAAACCCGTTGCCGCGGCACAAAGAGCACGCACAAAAAGGGCCCCCGCGGGGGCGCAGATGAGGGCGGGCCCGCCTTGCCGCCGGCCGAAAGCAGAGAAGAAGCTCGCAGGCCGGGGCCCAAAGAATTTTATCCATTGCCGCGGCACAAAGAGTTTGTTAGTACTACAGACAAAAAAGGCCCTCGCGGGCGCGCACCAGACGGCGGGCGTACATTGTCCGCCCCCCGTCTGGTGCCGTTTTTCGTCTGCGGTTTGGAAATCGTACATGGTGCGTTTTTAGTTCATGCACATGGTTCGACGAAGAGAATTTGCATTGCGTAGTCGTCTTCTTCTTCTTCTTTCATTTTCAGCCAACACCTCACAGGATGTGCTTGCAGAAATAGTCGCGCTCTCAGTTCGAGCTCGTTACGGTCCGCCCCCCATCTGGTGCCGTTTTTCGTCTGCGGTTTGGAAAACCGTACATGGTACGTTTTCAGTTCATGCACATGGTTCGACGTCGACGAAGAGAATTTGCATTGCGTAGTCGTCTTCTTCTTCTCTTTCATTTTCAGCCAACACCTCACAGGATGTGCTTGCAGAAGTAGTCGCGCTCTCAGTTCGAGTTCGTTACGCTACAGTGCTCATTTTCAAAAATCCACCCTTCGGGATTTTAGTTTTCAAAAGACCTATCGAAAATCAGAGCGCTTTAATCTGCCACTATTGTGCGAGTCACGGCATGACGAGATACACTACGCGACTCAAGCTACGGCGATTCAAAGAAATCAGCTTTGCAAAAACATATAGCAGCTTTATCACTCACTTTCCATCCTGTTTCGCGACGCAGAACTGGTGGCGTGCGAAGGTAGGCCCTCCAGATGGCAGATTTATTGGTTTAAGCAATTTATGATATGAAAAAACAAAAAGGTCCTGGCTCGAGCTAGCTAATGACATTGCAATTGCTGAAGTGCTATTATATAAGAGGCCGGCTTCGATGGGTGTTGCCCGCCTGTCTGGCTCGTGTCCAAAGGTAGGGCACCCCTTGACAGCACAGACATCGGCGAGGGGCCCCGTAAATGACGCCCGCACCATGCGGATTCGCTGTTTTTTCGGACTGCTGCTTTTTCGGCGGCCCTTTTTGGGCGCCCCAAGGCGCCAGAAACCAAGGCTGTGGGCGTGGGCGCCTCAGAAGGGCGCCCCTTTTGCCGGCTCCCCTGCGTCGTTTTATCAAGGGCGCATCGATAGAATTGGCTCAGGCTTTTTTGACAACAAAGCGAAAGCCCCGGCCGCTTGATAAGTAAAGTTCTTTTATGTAGTCAAAAAACGCCTTCGTCGGCCGCTTGAAAACTGCCGGTCGTTTTGCATAAGAGGCGTCAATAAAGCCGCTAGATTAGAACGTCGCTCGTCACCTTACTACGACCCAGCAACGAAGAATAAAACACACTTTTTCCACTAATAGACAAGGGAGCACGGGCGCTGCAACAGGCCCCGTTGATATCTTTAGCTTTACAAGTGGTTGCATACGTTGCAAAGTTAGAAGAGATTGTTGGATTTGTAATGCTATTCTGGTCGTTGTATCTCGTCTTGGACTGTCACTGTTGTTGAAGTAGATTCGTAAAAATGTCAAAATTGAAAAAAGAACTGTCCGTGCTGTGTTTACCCGTAACACGGATGCAGAGCTGCTTTTTAGGTAACTAAGTGCTGTGTGTTTCCTCTTGCACCCTTCCAGACCTTCTTGTAGTCTACCTGCGTGTAAAAATGGCTATTTATAGCGATGATGAAAAACAAGGCGGGTACAAGCTTTTTTGATAGATAAAAATAAATGGATGGAAAACAAGAAAGCGCTTGTTCGAAAAATTTCTTACGCAGCCAGATCACCAATACTTTTTCACGGGCTTTCTCTGCGCTCTTCCTCCTTCTCGAGATACGCTTTCGCATCCATCAACAGGGCCTGAGCCCGCTTCTCACTCGTGGCAAAGTAGAGATCGTTGATTTCGCACAAGCGTCTCCGGCGCTTCAAAATGTCATCCTTGGAGAAGGGCTTCAGATGCTCAAAAATACCTAGCAAAGGGTCGGGCTCGGGCGGCGAAGTTTCACCGTCATCAGTAGAAGTGCGCAGAACCACGTCTTCCGGAATTCTTATGACCAAACGCTCACCGGCCCAATCCACTAACTCCGAGAAAGGCAGGGTTAGTCCGTCAGCAATCACGACTGGAATCACGCAAGCGCCAACAAGTTCGGAGAACCTGTAATTCCAGCGACCGTCTCCGCGGGGAACCAAGCCGAACGCCGTGTCGGCCAAGGCAGCATAACGCGCCCTGTCGTCCTCGCTGTAGTTGGGATGGCCCTGGTGCGGCAGCAATTCAACTACTACTTTTGACTTCACCATTGCCCAAAGATCCTGGTCCGTATCCACGGAAGCTGCCCCTTCCCCCGCCAACACGCCCGGGGCCCCGAGGAAAAATCCGGAATCGCGTATCGCCTGTGCGACGTCCTGCACGACCGCCGGCGGCGGTAATTGTGCGTTGAATGTGGAATTGACTGCCGCCCGCACGGGGCCTCTATTTACCATGCCGCCTATGCCGCCGCCTCGTACACTAGCTAAAGCCCGAATGCCCGGAATGCCTGACGGCACAGGATTCTCACTACCGCGAAAGGTAAGGAAATACGTCGGCAGCCGGCTTAAGTCGGCGGGGCCATGGTTAATAGTGTAGTGATTCGGCGGGGCCATGGTAATTCCACGGGGTAGAGCGATTTCATCTGCGTTCTGCCAGGAGTCCCGCAAATCAAAGCTCAAAAAGGAAGTCCTTGCGCTGAAAACATTCTGCGAGGGCGACCCGTTCCGCGGACGAAAGCGGAGAAGCAGCTCCGCGGCAAAGATCTTGCCCGAGGCGGATCATCGTCGTCTGTGAGTTTTTGCCTGGAACGCACCACAGGCCGTGCATCCACACCAGGTACGGCCGAAGGGCATCTCTTTTCGGTAGCTGTGAGAAGGCCAGTGCGGTATCAGGTGCCAGTACATAAGCAAACGCAAAATCCGCGTCCAGATTACTACCACCCGGCGGCGCTTTTTTTTCCGCTAGCTTTTGTAGGTCCGGGAGGTAATTTTCGATGAGTTCGTGCTCCCCTGGATGTAGTTTGTCCTTCCCGCCAACAAGCACTCGGCTGAGGACAACAAGGCTTGGCAGAGGTATGGAAGGTCTTGATGCATTGCAAATATGTCTGGCGTTTTGTCTGGGAAACAAGACCTTTGCACAGCACAGGGAAGAGAACGGACTTGAACTTCTGGGTCTGGGAGATTTTGGGATTGTATTGTCAAGTCATGCAGATTTCATTGCATCGCGCACGATGTCACGTCAGTCATGCTCTTGGTCTTGCATGCTTTAGCATCACAGGTCGGGCTTGGGCGAAGGCCTCCTCATGCCTATCCTCCATGAGAATAAATGCCCTCTTCGGGAGGCAAGTGTATGAGTATCTCGTTTTTGTGCTCATGCAATGCAAACATAGAGCTTTTGTTTCACCGGTAGTCAGCATCACAACTTCCACTCTTTCCAGACCAAGACACATTTGCATTTGGTAATCTTGCCTCATCCGCAGCTTTTCGTTTTCCATACTGCAAATTTCCCAGTCGCGCCAGGTTTGCATTTGCTATTGCTTTCTCAGATTTGACATAACTGTTATCATGGCCCTGCTTGGTTTTTTGTCCCGTCATCTGCGATGCGGTTGTGCCAAGTTTCGGTTTACGTTCCCCAACGCCATGTATGTAACCGCCCGCTGTTCCCGCCAAAGCCGCTGCTGCGGTCGTGCGGCGCAGTACTGAAGTTGCTAATCCTCTGGTCATCGTTTTCGAGAAAGCCGTCATCCAGACAGCGGCATAATGGCTCTGGTTGTCTATTTAGGCCACACCCGCCAATTCTTTCGCTAGCATCTGTTTGACTTAGGGCTGCAATCTCAATTCTGAGCTACGTGTTGCTGGTCCTGGTGGTAATGGTCTTTGTATAGCACCTTTTGTATTTTCTAGGAAATGTTTTTCTCGCAAGTGGTTCTGGTTTTCACTATATTACTTAGTACTACAAAAAACAAGCGAGGAGCAACGTCCCTCGATAGCGCTCAGAATATCCTCTTTCGCTGTGGCGCACCCGATGAAGCAAGGAAGTTGGTTTTTTTCGGAGTTTCACTTTTCAAGTTTTTGAAATGAGCAAACTTCTCTCGCTATCAACATCGACCAGCAGGAGAGGACTACTTCTGCACCGAGCAAGCTGGTGGGTATAAGAGGAAGAAAAAACTACAGCGCCACTCGCTATTTGCCATTTTTCCACATGTGTCCACGTCGCCGCTTTTGCGTACAGAACGGCACTAGTCGTCGTCTTTTCTACAAACATGGGGCCCCATATTAGCGATTCTGTTACTACTATTACTATACTACGTCACTTATTCGCCCCTATACTACGTCAAACATGGGGAACCATATTATGCTACGTCACTTATTCGCGATTCTGTTACGTGAGTGAAGATCTCATGGTCAAAACGCACCCGACTCCTGCACTTGTCGCATTACTACATCTCCAAGCAGGCCCGCCCTCGCCCGTTTTAGCGGTGCCACACAAGAAGATGGCCACCATGTCCCCGGGCGTAGTGCTATACACGACGGCAGGGCGGCGGGTCGACAGAAATAACGGCTCAAAGTTGCCACCCATATGGGTTCGAAAGGGACAACGTTCCCCACATGCTAGGGCCTCACCTGGGCCTCCATCAGGGCCGGACCCTTGGGCGCCCGAAATGGAAATCGGCAAAAGCGAGTCCCTTACTTTTCGAATCATGTCACACCCCTTGCGGCCGCTGTGGTGCTATTTTCTATTTTCAAGCCCTGCATCAGCTAGAAGTGGCGCCGCCTCCCTACGTGCCGGTCACTCCGGGAGGCAAGGGCCGCAGGCCGCGCGGGCCATACGGCATCCTGGAAAGGCAGCTGGGCGCCTTTGGCGTCCGGGAAGGAGAAGAGGATCACTGCTGGCGCGCAACGCCGGCCACGCAATTTTTTCTTTCGGCCAAGATGGAGAACCAGAGCTGTTTGGTGTTCTGCCGGGTGTTTCTCTCGACGATTATTTCGATCCCATTGAATGGTCGAAAAAGGACAAGAAGTTTTTCAAGAAAGCGTCGCATGATTCATTGTTTCACCACATGAAAAATGATGCCACATGTATTTTTCGTTTCATTGTTTGCATTTCAGTCGAGCAAGTTCCATTCCCGCCACGCAGGCATTTCCATTTCGTGTGCGTGTGTGGTGTGATCTGGGTTGTCGGCTCGCTTCGCGACGCCATACACAACCACAGAAGTGGGCACTTTCCTCGTTAGTGTGAGTTCTCTCGCACGCGCACTCAGGAGTCGTTTCTGCGCGACGTTCATACATTTCAGCCGGCTTCATCTCCTTTCAGTGAGCGAGGCGCTTCGCCACCTATGACAAGGGTTGCGTCAACTCGTTTAGCGATTTAGTAAATGAGCGAAGAGTAAAATATATATCGATGCTTGGTCTAACGCTAGTACACACGACAGTGGCAGACTCCTAATCCCAAACTTCCAATCGGTCCAAAAACATGACAAAAGGCTGCTCATGGCTTGATCTGCTGCTCGTTATGGCATGTACTTGTAAGCGTTCTGTGGCAAATTTCCCGGGCGCTTGTAGAGCGGATTGCGACTGGTTTCCCCTTCCTTTGCGCAGTGGAGCTCCTTGACTGTAAAATTTCCCACGTCGAAGTAAAATGGGCACAGGTTCAGACCTTGCTCCGGTGAGGGTTCCTGATGTTCTCCTGCCTCCATTGTCTCTGCAATCCACGACGATGCCGCGCCTTCCTGCTCTGAAGCGTCGATCGGCGCTCCTTCTAACAAGGAAGATCCACTCCCGCCTCTGGACAGCGCGGCCGCCTTCCTGCCAGTTGTCTTTCCGTCTGGTGCTGCGCTGGTCTTGCTCGTGCTTGTGTTCCCGCGTCGGCGTGCCAAAATCGCGTGATATTCCTCCAAAAGATTAGCCTCTTTCAGTAGCGGCAGAATGCGCTGGCTGAGCGACGTGGAGGTGGAGGTGGTAGGAGCACCCGAGTGCGAGGGACCGAGCGAGCGATCACAGAACCACGCGGAGTGTCTCATCGCCCAGCTCCATTCCTGTTTCCCCGGCACAAAAGTGTCGTGCGAATGAAAGATCCGCACAAAACCCGCCTTCCGGAAGGTATCATGCCACTTCGCGTAACTGCCCGTCGGCAACTTTCGCTCCTGATCCTCCTCTAACAAAATCAGCTCCAACTGGCTCAAAAAAGGGTCGCCCTCGCCTCCAGGAAAAACGTACTCAATGCAACCCTCACAGTCGATCAGCACGGCATTGATCTTCGTCGAAAACGCGCGCTCGATTTCCTGGACGTAGACAAACCCTACCGCGCGTGCCTCGGGTTGTTTTTCGTGGTCGCCGTTTTCGTTCTTGTTACGAACTTCTGTTACCTCCATCCTGCCACCGTAGCCCCCCCTCTCTGGGTAAGACATCGCCAGCTTCTCCCGGTTGAAATATGCGCTCTTGTAACCCACACCGCCCCTGACCAAGTGGTAGTTGCACTTGTGCTTGTTCCTGTTCTCCAAATTCGTCCGCCACACAGCGGCGTCGATTTCAGCGGAAAACACCCTCCCGGCCACGTTTCCGGTCACGTTCGCAAGCAAGCACGACGTAGTGCCGTACCGCGCACCGAACTCGAGCACACGGGCGACGGGAGAGTTTAGCAAAAGCGAAGCCATCATCCACTCGTCCCATTCGATCAGTGGCGTCCGTTCCGACAAGGTGTTCCAGTCGCCCGACCCCGGCATAACAAATTCGGGGCGACGCAGCGTTGTCAAGCGGGTCCTTCCATTTACTCCGTGTTTGTCTTCTCCTTCTTTCCAGGGCCCATTGTTGCTGAGTAGCGGGCGCACGCGCGCGTTCGCGATGGGCACAAGCGGTTCAGACTGCAAGGACGCCGCTTCCGTGTTCGGGTCGGACACGCAATCCATCTTGCAGGTGACGTTCGCGCAGCTAAATCGGAGAGCGTCAACAGCAGTCCCGCTCTCCCCCGCTTCCGCGGTCTTTCGCGCTGTAGTTTCGGCGAAATGCGGCGACCGAAAATCCTTAGTGCACTGCACGGTGGAGGTATCCTCTCGCTGCTCGTGACGGCGAAGCTGCTTGGTGTACAGTCCGGCCCTTTTATTCATCCTTCTGACTTTGCGCAGAGTGTAGGCGTCTACTGCAGGTTCGGCACAGAACCAAGCGCCGAACCCGAAGCCGAACAAGGCGCGCATAGCCATCATAAGGCTAGTAGCTTAAGACGCGTCTACCCACTGCTACTTGGAATGGCACCAAGCGGACGAATCACTCAAGCTAAACGCCAAAAGCATTCCACAACCCTACCGCTCACATCATCTAAGTGCCAGCACTTCTCTTCCACGATGTATACTTAACTTATCAGAAACAGAATTGTTTTGCTTTTGATAAATGTATATGTAAATGTAAATGATAGACATTGCTTCTCTGCATATCCTCATCGTCTGTTCGTTGTGAACGCGACGAAGACCGAAGAAGAGACCTCAAAGGAGAAGCAGCACTCAGCGCACAGCATTAAATACACCGCGGCGTGCGCACCTTCGACCCCATCCCAGTGCTGACACGCTCACGCTCGGAGCATTGGCATTATGGTTTGTTCTTGATGAGGTTGCGAAGACAAGAGAACTCAAAGGTCGATTGTTGTTTGTCTTCACCTTCATCCAGGTCACGACCGCGTTGGCTTCGATAACGATTGACGTACTAGATCATGGTATCTGAGTCTGATCTATCATAAGAAAAAGTGTTGAAGTTACGGTTTTCGGGTTTTTGGAAAAAAAAATTTTTGTGGGTACTGAGCACCATCATTTTACTTTTTTTTTTTCTCGCCGCCGCGCAGCCTCATTCATTCTTTGCCCCTGCGGGGCTCTAAAGTGGTAAAACTCTGGGAGAGGAAGCTAGTGCACACGGTGCGAAAACTATGAGGCCCCGCCACAACATTGCGCCCCTTCAAGCCCTGAAATGGCTGCCCAATCCCTGTCCGGGCTCAAGAGCCATGATGGCTGTAAGCCGGTGGGCCAGGGCCCCGGCACTGCTGACAAGACCCGCCCACCAACGCGTCGCAACGATCGACGCCGGAGATGGACCTGTTTTAATGAGGGAAAATGGACCATAGCATGCTGTCCAGATATGATGTTGACGGTTTTTTGGGGAATTGGAAAAATCCGAGGAAAAAATCAATGATTTGACGCCATTTCGAGGCCAAAAAATGCAGATCCCACAAAAACCGTCAACGCCTCATCTAGACAGCACGCTATGATCCATTTCCCTTCTCTCAAACCGGTGCGGGCACGGGAGCGCACCTTCTGAGCAGGCAAATCGAGCATAGCGCTCTGGCTAGATGAGGTGTTGACGGTTTTTTGGTCGATTTCATGCAAAAAAGCAGGCTTCTGGAAGACCCGATCGACCATACCGCCGTGTCTAGATGAGGTGTTGACGGTTTTTGGGGTGCCTGCAAATTTTGGGCATTTTGGTACCCAAAGTTTGCCCATTTCCCTCATCCTCGAAAGTGCCACCTTTTCTTCAGTCATGGAGAAAATTTGACAAAAAGCGCCAAAAGGTCCGAGATGGAAACTTGCACAGCCGCACAGAGCTGAACTGGCGGAAACGCCATCTAGATGCCAGCTCATAGGTCCACACGTCCGAGGTTTAGCCACGGTTCGAGGTTTGAGCGTTCTGGCCCGGATCTAAGAGCCGGCGGCGAGGAGAAGGCACGGCAGGGGGCGGCCCCGGTCGCCGAAGTCCTACGCCGTCATATTTTGTGCACTAGCTAGGTCCAACCAAGCGAGCTTCGTCGCAGTCCCGCGAGAACGAATAGCGGGAATGGGTCGACTTACAAACCAAAAACATACCTCCAGCATACACCCAAAATTTCTTTTTTCCAAAAAACTTAAAACCGTAACGTCAACACTTTTTCTTTCGAGATGATCATCGTGTCGCGCGCAAACCAAGAAGGACAAAACTATATGTATTTACTATTATAATTGCGTACACGGTGTATCTTTACGCAACCAATAGTACTGCCAACCCCTTTAGGTAGAGCAGAGTCTTAGCTCTGGCTACGCTTTTGAGATATATTAACATGAGGGACATTGTTGCTGTTGCTGTTGCTGTTGTCCTCGTTGGCAGTGTGCCCTTGAGCGGACTGCTGTGTGGCCCTTTGTTTAGCGATTATTATAGGCACACTCTTGGTCTCCGCCGCACACATATAGAAGTAGAACTCCAACGCGTGGCGGCTGACATTAATTTTATGTGCAATTCATTGGCACTGCTTGGACATCCACAAAAGTCAAAATGATCGAAGAAGCAATCACTTCTCGCTTGCCCAAATATCTTGCTGCGCTGGGCCGTTTTTGTTTTTTGTTGAGTATTGGGCTTGCTCTTGAAGCTTCGCACTAAATACTTCTTTCTACTACTTTCTTAGACTGGAAACTACAAAAAATGAATGACGTGTGCGCTTCTCAAGGTGAGCGGTAAAAGCCTCCCACATACTGTGGTGCAATTCTCAGAAGGTAACTACAAAAAATGAAAACCCAATACCATGGCCGTGCGAGGAGTTGCTGCCAAATTATCGCGATTGCGCAGCAGGTGCTGACGAAAACGCTGACACACAACGCGCGCGCCCTTCAGAGGTGGCGGGGCGGGCAGTGGGCCTCACCCATAGAGCATAGCATAGATAGATAGCCTTGCTTTGGCTCTTGAGGTTTGCGCTAGATTATACCCTTGGAAGGGCGGCGGTATGTTGCCGCGACAGCACCTGCACGCGCGCCGCGGCAAGACTAAAACCGTGCGAAAGCCTGACGCCGCGATGGAGGCCAGGAAGCCCGGCTCACGAGAGAAGAGGCACAGGCGCATGGTGGGCAGAAAAAAGAACCACGAGAATAGAGCGAAGTGGCCTAGTAGCGGCGTCTTCCATCGTGACGACTGTCAACATGCCATCCCTGGCAGCATGCAGCTGCGTCTCAGTGTCTGAGCCGACTCACTGCTCCAGCGTGTGGGCCACTCAATATGTCCAGCGAGCCGATGCGTCGAGACCGCTGACGCGCGCGAACATCCACCAGACCAAACAGAACGGGCTACGCCTCAGTCTAGGTACCAATTCCGAAAAATAAAAAGAGGTAGAGATACACATCATGTGGTAGCGCTGCGTGTCTCTGCGGCGATTTGTTGGCGTGCTTCTAAATTCCTTTTTGCAGAAGGCTTCTTCCTCTTCGTCTTCTTGGTTCCTCTTCCTTGGAAAACAAAACCGACGCGGTCAAGATCAAGAAGCGCGACTGCGCTTTTGTGTGTCAACTTCCTCGGAGCATATATTTGAGCGGTCCGGTGCTGGTTTTCGTATATTGTTTGCGTTTCCTATTTTTGCAGCTGGGATAGAAGGGGCGCCGAAGCGCCTCCGCGGTTCGCTCGACTACATGCATACCTCCTACAATCGGGCAACTTGAAATAGTAATAGAAGTCTGCACTTTCTTCAGCATAAGCGTCTACTAAATTACTAAAGGTTGGAAGCGGGGTCACGTTTTCAAGTTGGAGTCACGTTTGTGGAATCACGTTTAGAGCGGAATCAAGTTGATGGAATCAGCTTAGCAGTGTCTGGGCTTGGGTTTAGGGTCTAGGGTTTGGGGTTTCTGGTCGTCGGCCAGGGCAGCCGCCGCCGGCCGGCCGGCCGGCCGGCCGGCCGGCGGCGGCTCTTCCCTCGGCCCGTTCTTGGAAGGTGGCGACCCCGCGCCCTGCCCTCCTGCGCGGTTGTTCTGCCGCTTCCCTGGGGTTTTCCTGGCTCCCGCTGGCCAGCTGCTTGGCTGGCGGGGCGCGTCATTGGTCCCGGCGGACCCCTGGGCCCGCCCGGCGTTCGTTTAAGTACGTTGTGGGCATTTCGGCGTCTGAGTTGTTTCACTCTCTCAACTCGATTAGACAGACGCGATTCCGTCGCAAACGTGATTCCATTAACGTGATTCCATGAGTAAACGTGATTCCAAAAAGAAAAATGTCAAAACGTGATACCGCCACTAAAAACGTAAAGCTGCGCTGGGCGCACTATTCCCCCTTCCCGTACCCCGCTCCTCCTTTTTTTTGTTCCGGGCGCGCCGTTCCCCCTGCTACTGGCGCACCTGTTTTCCCACTCATCGTGCAGCATCTGCTCCACGTAGCATATGCTCCACGTAGCATAGGCTACATGTAGCATATGTACGCCATGTAGGACATGCACGCCAATGTCCGCCCCCTTTTTGGTGCATGTAAGCAGTTTCTGTTTTGACGGCGCAGTGCGCGCGAGCCGACATTCGTATATAGCAGAAAAAATTTTTTTTGGGCGCGCGTACGGATCCACATTTGTACACAAAAGCGAAAGCATATTTCGAGACGCGCGATGCGCGGGCGCGCATCGCGCACGTTTTGAAATTTGACACATTTAAAATTTGCTGGTGCGCGCGCCGCGCGCGCACCGGAGGAACGTGTCACACACATGTAGGACATGTACTTAGCTACACGTCGGCGCGTTGCAAACTATCTGGAGACAGCTGGCTAAATATTATGCTGCGTGTGCTTAGTACGTATAACTTAAAGTTTTCTGATAATCGTAGAATCTCAGCCACGCTTCAGGTGAGAACATTGCGAATACAGAACAGCTGCAGCCCTCGCCAGACAGTAGGTAAGAAGGAGCAGAAGAATTCGGGCGAGCAGGTACAGGACAGCCGCGGATACAATTCAGTGTAGCGCGAGAAGTGTTGAACAATTTATTGAGTCAGTGCGATCGGGAGTAGAATCGATCTCGTCCGACTGTTGCCTGCAAGACGTAGCCGCGCGGCGTCAAAATTTTCTCCAAGTCCTCCACGTTCTCGTTGTAAATTGAATGCACTTCAACTGAAATGTAACGCACATCAGGACCGAGTTGCCCATCCGTCAAGTATGCCCGCAAAAAATCAACAGCGCATCCTTCACAGTCAAGCACAAGTGCGTCGAAGTTCGCTTTCGTGGCACCCGGATCGATTTTCTGATACGCTTCCAGGGGAGTTGCACTCCGAGCCTTCGTCTCGTTCTTTTCATCTCTCGGCCCCAATGAGCACGGGCGGTATTCCCTTCCATAGCCACTTGTCGATGACTTGACGCACATTGTTTTCGTGGAGATAACCGCTGGTAATGGGTAAATACCCGGAGAGCGTTTCATTCCGGCAGCGACGGCTTCACCATGATGGGAGTGGGACTTGTTAGTGCCATCGCCACTTTTTGCGCTACTGATGGCAAAGGGCGCCCCAAGTCTTGTCTCTGCTTCCGAGGTTGCAAAGGCGACGCTTTGCACGCCGTCCGTGCGAAATCCGCAGCGGGACAGATTTTCTCCGTACACACGCAGCAGCTCCGGCACAACGCCAAAATCCGGATCCACTACCACAATGGCGCCACGGGGGCCCACTGCGTCGCGTATAGCAGATGTCGTGAACCCGTAGCGACCTCCAAGCTCGAGGACCGCTGCACCAGGCGGAAAGCGAGTGACTAGCTCAGCTTCGGGTCGTTCAATGCCGCAATCTGCCACAGTCCCTTTTTCTGTTCGAAAAAGGCAGTCAGTGCGACACTGGCCTTTTCGGTGTTGTTTTCCGTTTTGTATGTTCACTGGCGCGGCCGCGGAGAGAGACGTCCCTTTTCATCCTTCTGATTTTGCGCAAGATGTAGGCGTCTACTGCAGGTTCGGCACAGAACCAAGCGCCGAACCCGAACAAGGCGCGCATAGCCATCGTAAGGCTAGTAGCTAGAGACACGTCTACCTACTGCTCATTGGAATGGCACCAAACGGACGAATCACTCAAGCTGAACGCCAAAACCACTTCACGACCCTAACACTCGCATCATCTAAGTGCCTTTTGATAAATGTAAATGATAAACATTGCTTCTCTGCATATCCTCATCGTCTGTTGTGAACGCGACGAAGACCGAAGAAGAGCCCTCCAAGGAGAAGCAACACTCAGCATTAAAAACACCGCGGCGTGCGCACCTTCGCCCCCATCCCAGTGCTGACACGCTCACGCTCGGAGCATGGGCATTATGGTTTGTTCTTGATGAGGTTGCGAAGACAAGAGAACTCAAAGGTCGATTGTTGTTTGTCTTCGCCTTCATCCAGTTCCAGGCCAGGACCGCGTTGGCTTCGATTACGATTGACGTAGATCATGGTATCTGAGTCTGATCATCGTGTCGCGCGTAAACCAAGAAAGACAAAACTGTATGTATGCATGTTAGGTTTATTAGTGTCTGGCGCCAGCCAAGGGAGTACAGCGCAACTTTTGTTTTCAAGGGAGTCAAGGGAGTAAGATAAAAAAGCAGTCGCGCGCGCCAATGCGATCGGCATATAGCAAAAATTTCTCGCGGCGCGCGCTGCGCGCGCGCAGATCGACATCTTCTGTGCGCACACAGCAAAAAATTTTTCGGGCCGCGCGCTGCGCGCGCGCAGCGAGGCACGTGAAACATGCGCCCACGTGTGGGAATGTTGCGAAGCATCAGCGCGAAGCAGGCTGCATATTCTACGCGTTTGAGCTTCGAGCTTGCTGCGCGTTCCGACGGCCACCGCAACTCTTTCCCGATTGGAGAGAGTCGAAGTGGTCGCCTCAACATTTCCATTTCGTGTTCTCTGTTCGGCATGACGTTGAATCTGGTCACGCAGAACCTCGCCCGAAAGATCTCGACAAGCAAGTTGCTGAAGTGGCTGCCGCGACTTCCCCCGGACGACGGAAATTCGACATGGCCACGGCAACAGTTTACGCGTTCCTTCGGCTCCGCGCTCTATGTTGCCAGGCAGAGGCCAGGCCAGGCCGCCCTGACGGGGGCGACTCTAGAAGCCCTCACCTTCTTCAAGAGGCCAGGGCCTTCGGCAGCGAGCCAATGCCTAAACGCGGACAAACCTGGGGCCGCAGCGGGGGGGGGGGCAGCAGGGCGCAAACCGGCGACCGGTAAGCGCACCCATGGCATGCATTTTGGCGATGATTTAAGGGGAGAAAATTTGTACAAATTTTATCTTCCTCCCTTGGCTCCCTTGAATCCCTTCGAAGTTTCACTCCCTTGCCTATAAAATGCTCTAGCTATGTATATGATCCGCTCTTGTTTCAAACAGATGCGGCGCTCGCTCTTTGACCAGGCTATACTTGCGATGATCCGGCTGATAACACGGCTGTGGGAGCAGGACGCGCGAAAACCCTTCAACGCGACACACGGCCTCAAGTCGTGAAAGCCGAAGGAGAGCAGCGCGCATGAAGGGAAATGGGCGCGCTGTGCTGCCCTGCTTCGAGCACTGGCTCCTTATAGCAGCATCATTCAGAGGGTGCACACCGGGCGGACTGACACGACAGAATAATTACGCTACGTGCGTAAGGAGGTGCGCTTCCAGAGCGGCTCCACGGACATCCGGCTATTGCCGGACGGGCAGAATGTAGGGCGCAAGCTGTGGCGGTTGGGGCTCACACAGGCGGAGCCTCCGCCGCCTCTTGCACCGCCTCCCGGGAACGGTCTATCTTGCGGCCCCGCCAGGGGAGTAAGGCGCCAGCCCAGGCCTTCCAGAATAGCGCAGGCCCCACCGTTTTCGCCAATCTTCGGCAAGTGCCGCCGGCTGCGTGCTGCGCACTATGTGAGGCAGTAGGGCTTACGACGGTGCGCCTCCACCTACCAATACTGCACAAGGCCGCCGGGAGGGGCACGCCATGCCGGGCCCCCTTGCGCACGACGCGGCAACACCCTAAAGGGCCCGCCTCGGACTGGTTGGGCGCGGTGTGGCGCTGTGCTGCTCAGGTTAAGCACGCGGACGGCCAAATAAGGAAGTCATCATCATCATCATCATCATCAACGCATTAGCCGTGTCTTTTGTTCAGAAGTTGAAATACTTAAAGCATCTACCCTCACAGAGTCATCGACGATCCTTCACGCCGAGTTTAGGCTTTTTCAATTGCGGTGGCAAAGCAATATAATGAAGCAGCGAGCCACCTCCATGTCCATGTGTTTCCACTTCAACACCGTGAGTGGCTGCCCCAGGCGCCCCCCCATCCACACAAAGTCGCCGCGCCTCTGGCTCTCCTGCAGGTTGTTCTTGCTCTTGTGCGCACCCGAAAAGAGACGGTAGCCTGAAGGCGCCACCTCTGAGGTTGTGCGCGCTAGTAGTAGAACCAGGGTAAGCACCAGGAACATACGACGACATTCCTCGTCGTGACGTGAACGACGTTGCAGGTAGTGGGAGGCTTGCGAAGTTCTCCTTCTCCCTTTCGTCCCTTCGAGGAGCAATAGTGGACGAAACGGACGTAGCCGCGTCAGCACCAATCCCCCTACTCGAGGCACACTTCTTGTTCTCCTTGTTGTGGTTCATCGGGTCTTCTTGTTTGCACGCCCCTTCGTGGTGGTCTTCAGCTACACGGCTCAAAGGAGCAGGAGCAGCAAGAATAAGGTAGCTACTAGTACTCTTTGCAATAGTACTAATTCCTGCTTCATCTGCAACGTTCATCTTCACTTCTTCATCCACACAAGGAGCTGGTGCGCCATCAGCAGCGAAGTCGTCTGTGGGCAGGTTGTGTCGTCGGCAGTAATCGACGACCAGCTTAACGAACTTTTCCAGTACTGATGGCAACACACCTCCGTCGTATCCTGTGATGGTCATGCACTTCGCCACCGAGGAAGGTCGTACGTTGGCCAAGTTACGCAGAAAAGGACCTTGCTTGATGTAGTCAGGTAGTGCTTTGCCGCGGCTGTACACCAGTCTTAGTTGCTTTAAGTGGTCGAATAACTCATCCGCCTGCGTTCCAGTCGCTGCCGCGGCCTTGCGCTCGTGACCGCCTTGCGTGTTTCTGCTGGACAATGTGCTGGCACTTGTTCTAGAAGCAGTACAACAGCCGAGGACCGCCGTGACGCCTCCTGTAGTCATGGCAGCTCTGCGGCCGTGCACCGCCGCGTTCGCAACATGTCTCGCGTCTGCGAGCGCGAGGGCATCCGCAAGATCTTTCGGAAGCGGCAAGTCGACAAAAAGCGAAGGCATTGCAGCTTCAGCCTCCCGCGCTGCGACGAGGCCGGGAGTTGTGCTTTTGCAGAGATCACGACGGTCGGCAGATGAAGATTCGGAAGATAGCACTATCGTCTTTATTCCGCTTTGGTGATTCTTCTTTTCGGTTTCGGTAGTCCGTGGTAGCAGGAACTTCTTCCCTGAATCGGTTGCCCGCCAAGCAAAGTAACGGATTCCGGTGGACATTTCTCTGGCCACTTGCTCCGCAAGGTTCGCCTGCTCAACGACGCGTCCAAACGCTTTCCAGAAGGCCTCGGAGCGGTGCACGCCAGTCCCGAATTCCGCACCCTTATCTAGGCCACGCTTCTTCACTTGCTGGTTGCTCTTACCAACCAACACACTGATAGCAAGATTCAACCCTGTCTGGCCGTGGCACGCTACCAACGCACGCAAGAAAACTCCGGCATCCGCGGTGAAATCAACTGCGTTGTTGAAAGAGGCCAAATTTTTGCGGAAATTTCCGCCGGCGCCTCGGGTCGTCGCGACAAAGCGAGTACTGCTCACCTGCTTTTCTAACCCGGTAGTACCTTTGCCTTTGGTGGCGGAAAAGTGAAAACGATTGCCGCCTCGTCCGCCTTTCGATGCTGATCCTGATGCTGTGTCCTGAGCGTTTTTCGTCAGACCAGCAATGGAGATCGACGGCACGTCTTCGCTGAACTGCGCCGCCGGCTTGACAGTCATATCTTGTGCGCCAACCGCATCGTGGCTGCAGGCTCGCAGCGCGTACAATTTGTCCACTACGGAGTCATTTTCGCCGCCCGCCGAATAGGAATATGAAAGACTAATTATCGACTGGGACTGGTCGGAGACACGACGGCGTTTGTTGCTGCGGATCCGGTGCCCGCCGCCCGAGGCCAACATCTCTTCTGCGCTTCTTGGTGAACAAGATGTTCCTTCATCGCCCACTTCTCGCAGGAGACGCCGTAGCTTGCCAGGTTCGTTCGGAAACGGCGAATTTTGGTCGCAACAATCGCAGAAGCCACAGAACGTCCGGTAGCGCTGGGGCGAGAGCCAGGGAACGGCACGCCCGGCCGGATCGAGTGCAAAGCACGCCCCCCGCGCCGGCTCATTCCTCCAAGAGTCGCTCTCCTCGAGCTCGTCGAGAATCTGGCCCCGCCGACAGTGCCGACTGTAGAGAAAGTTCCACACCTTCTTGTGCGCCTCCTGCTCGCGTGCTGTTTGCACCCGCCGGAAAGACTTGGCTTCGTCAGATTTGGTGATCAGCGCGGTGCAGTGAGCGACTAGCCCGTCGCGTCCAGCCCGCCCTGTTTGCTGGATGTAGTGGAAGAGACTCTTCGGGGCGCCAAAATGAATCACCCGGCGCACGTCCTTTTTGTTGATACCCATGCCGAACGCCACGGTGCAGCACACAATCGCGGTACTCCCCGCCTGAAAATTTTCATACACACGCGCTCGCTCTTCCGCCGACCGACCCCCGTGGTACGCCTCGACTATGGGATAGAGCATGTTTGTGCAGCTCGCGTCTTCGTCGTTTGTGGATGTTGTTGTGGTGGTGGTCCCCCCCGAACAAGGCACTACAGTGACCACATCACTGCGAGGGCGTCCTACGTCACGCTGCGCCGGTGCATTTTTTTGCATCTGATAGAGTGGCGTCGACACTCCCGCTACCAAGCACGCGCTTGCAGTAGATGAACCGACCTCCAGAACTCGCCCTCCTTGTTGTGCGCACGAAATGTTTTTGCTCAAAAACCCCGTTACGTTAGCGAAAACTGTCCCCACTACCCCGGTTTTCCCCAAGTAACTTTTTTTTTTTCTTCGATCCAAGTTCGACCAGGATGAGCCCTTCGTAGCCGACCTCCTCCGCGAACAGCCGAGACGAGCAACCCGATCCTCCCGGTGTGCATCCCTTTATGGAATGAAAGAAATTAGTTTTTAGCTAGTGGCGCACAATAACTAGATTTGCAGTCCTTCTATATATATGTATGCCAATTAAGAAAGGCCTCCGCGCTCCGGATTCCGGGCCCATCTCCTGGGGCAGAGCAACACGAAGATGTTCCTCGCGGCCGATCCCGTTGAACCCCTTCGTAGAACTGTTACCGCGTAGACGAGGTAACAGCACAGCAGGACCTTCTCCAGTTACGTGTCCTTGATGCACCAGCAAGTCCAGGCAATGCAGCGGAGCTTCGTCGCCGTATTCCAGCCGCGGAAAAGGCCTAGATAGCTAAAAAAGATACACACGATCTAATATCTCAAAAAGTAACGACTTAGTTTTTGTGCGCCACTAGCTAACTAACTTCTTATCTTGCATATTAACCTCAGGAATTATCCGTCTAGGAGAGCCGCTGGTGGATGCCGTCCGGGAAGGTTGCGGGGCCGGTTATCGTGGAGTTGCGGCAATGCATGAAAATTTTTTTTCTTTGGGGAAAACCGGGGTAGTGGGGACAGTTTTCGCTAACGTACCCGTAAGCATGTCCGCCTCTGCCTTGGTGTTCAGGTAAATAATAGTCGACGGCATCTTCACCTTCACGACTGTCCTAGCCGAAGCGTTTGCCACGGAAGCGCCTGCGAAAGCACCAGCGCCCCCGGCAGAGGCATTTCTACTTGTCGTGCTCGTCGTGTCGTTCCTGATGCAGTCAGAGTTGTCACCCCGTCGATCGTGCCCCAGTAGCATGGACAAAAGTTGCCCCTGCGCATCAATCTCGTTTTCGCAAAACAGAACCCTGTAGTGCAGATTAGGTCGATTTTGCCGGCCTTTGATAAGGCAGCAGGTTGCCTGCAGCTGCATCTTCTGGTATATCGTATCCTGGACGGAGGCTGGGCAGGTGGCTGACAGACACATGATTGGAATGTTGCGCAGAGACTCGCGCTGGTTTGGCAGTGTGTGAGATGTTGTTGAGCCGGCATTTACAACCCCGCCACGTATCTGCTCCTTGTAACTACCGCGTTCGCCCCGGAAAACCGCGCCAAGCTTTTGATACTCCGGCCGAAAATCGTGGCCCCACTCTGCGACGCAGTGAGCCTCATCAACGGCAAAAAGGCAAATTCGCGGCGCCAGCTGTGCAAGACGGGATTCATTGTTGAGGATCCATTCCGGGCTCGCATACACAAGGTCAAACTGCCCATCGACAACCTTATCAAAGATCTGCTTATCCCGCTGCGCCGAGCCCAGGTAGCAGGCACGCAGCTCAATTTCTCGGGTCAGTCGGCCACGGGACTCCTTGTTCTCTGCTGCTTCGTCTTTTTGTGCTGCCTCTTGGTCCTTGACGCCTCTCGTCTCTCGTTCTCCGGGTTTGTCCGCTAGTACTACTTCCTCGTCACTGCTGTAAAGGGAGCTATTCAGGTTACGTACCTGATCTTGCATGAGCGAAATCAGGGGAGACACCACGAAACAAATTTTCGCGCATTTCGTGTCTTGCAATAGTTCTGAAGAAGTACACTGCGGAGAGTGCTGCTGGTCCTTGTGGACATCATTTAGCGCTGCTTTCTGGTGTCCTCGCCGCACACCACCAGTGCCTTTCCAAACGAGCGGCGCCAGCTGGTAGCAGAGAGACTTGCCCAGACCCGTCGCGACCACTACTAAACTGTCACCACCACGACGAAACTGCTTCAGCGCTTCGACCTGGAAATCTCGCAGGTGGGGAATGCCGCGCTCGGAGAGGTACCGGCGTAGAAGTGGACACTCCTGTAACAGCTCGGTTCCGTAGAAGTTCTCGTCCTGGTACGCGGTGCCGGCTCTTGCGCTCGTCGGTAGTTCTTCTATTTTCTCGGGCATCTCCATCTGCTGATCAAGTGGCCAATGTAGTTAGCTCCTCGTTTGTCGTGTGAGCATTTTCGCTTGTCAGGAACAACTACGTTGCAGGTGCTTCTGCTGCTCAATCAACAAATACAAAGAGTGCGGGGGACAATTTTTGGATGATCTCTTTCTGGTCAAGGAAGAGGAGGAGAAAAAGTCTATAGCCAGCTTCAAATATTTAGATCTACTACTTTCTACAGCCGTCTACTAGTTTCACGAAGATGGTGCTGCTAGCCTTTTTTATGCGATGCCCTCTACTTTAGATGCTTGTGCTAGAGAAGATACTGCGACTCATCATGATCATGCAATGTGAAGACTCATATACAAACCCGCACCCGCATGAATATAGTGGCCATTTTTTCCAGCAAAAGCGAAGTCCTCTCATCTGATGATATTACAGTGACCACAAGCTCCGAGACAACATCTGATGCTAACAGCTGCGTGTGGTTCGTGGGTAAAACGCAAACTACTCGTACGAAAAACGAAAGCCATCGCACAGGCACGACCTTCAGTCATGCATTAAGCAGCTTCAAAAATAATGAACCGACGGCTGCATGCAATGTGCACATGATGATCAAGACGTTGAATACACGGCTGATTCGTGTCACTCAAGGTGACTCACTTTATTCAACAAAGTGACAGACTGTCACAAAAAGTACATGCAGCATGTTGGGAGAACGCTTTTCATCATGGCACGACGGTCCTTCGCTATCATGGTCACAAAGTTATGAGTCTTGGTCTAGCATCAAGTCCTCGATTGCTGAACTTCGTCGAATATAAAAGTGGCAAGATTGTTGTCGTATGAACAAAACAATGTGGCACGATAAGTCGACGCAGCCGTGGTCAGCTTTCTTTCAGTGGCGCAAGCCCAAGCTTCCATTTGTTCTACTTGCGAGAGACTGAAACTCCATCGAGGAGCATTTCCATTTGTAAATATTTGGATGCCACAAGCGCACCTGGACTTATCATGTTGAGTATCAGTTCGCTTCTGATATAGTCTTCCGCTGCTCATCAAAGTCACAGATCCGCGCTCGTCGCCATCGTCGTGTTTCTTTCCTTTTCATCTTGGGCCTTTGTTTGCGAATCTATTTGGACTTGGGGTTGCATCTTCGTCTGGGCATTATTTTGCTGCTCTTGTTGCTGCAACAACTTCTGTCTGCGCTTGGCGTTCCTCTTGGCGATGATGCGAAGAGTGCTAGTTTGCTCGTGTTCCATCATCTCATGCCAGTTCGTTATGCGCGCCAACGTTCCATCTTCATTCAGGATGACGGGTCCTAGGGAGTCCAAGGTAATCCGCTCCCCGTTGACTTCCAAAACTGTCGGCGCTGGAGTTGTAGTTGATGTGTCCCTATGAGCTCCTGCCTGTTCATCACCAAGACCAGGTAGGGCAAGCACCGGGGACTTTATTTCCCTCTCGCTATCGCTTCGGTCCAATACTACATTTTTAGACAAGTGTTCAGCGGAACGGCTGCTCTCGACGACTACTTGTACTTCGGTCCTTGCGGCAACACCTGCTGCAGGTTGTCCTTCGTCCGGCGAAACTACCGACGCCGTCGCCATTCCGGGCAATCTTATGGATGAAATCACGGCTGTTGTGGCGAGCACGTATGACATCGTCGGGTAGAAAATGCACCTCGTAGCTCCTCTGGAAAATAATGGTATCCAGGACGACACGGCTACTCGAGTTGGCCGTGCGAAGAAGATGCTATTCATAGAACTAGAACTACTGGTACTGTCAAGAAGCGCCCGAATCATCAATAAATCTAAATGTCGCGGCAGAGATACAGATGATGATGCTGAGCGCATGAGGAATGTTTCCTGAGGCTGAGGCTGAGCAATGTCGCTGCATGAACTCAAACAGAAGATAATCCCAGGTGTGAAGTCGAAAAATAGATGACGACGAGATGCGTTGTGCTAACTGCGGTGCAAAAAGTACTTACTTATATATTTCTTAGTTTTTAGGAGTCAGTTGCTTGTGGCCATCAATCATGGTACTTCGCCTGGTGGCGCTCTTACTTACTGGGTGAAAAAAAGCAAAAAAATGACCGCAGCGAGCTGCTATATTATGGCCTCCACAACAAGATGAGCGAACTAACCTCCTCGACAAGAATCTTGGATCCTCGGGGGGTGTTTCGCCTTCCCGCGTTGCAATCTATATTAATCTCATTTGTATGTGTATGATCTTCAGTCATCTTTTGGTTTTGGAATCTTCGTTTGTCATCAATATCCAGGCACCACGCGGCCCCAAGATCGGCTACTGCATGACCAAGAATACTAGTCCACAATGACCTTTCTGATTATTACACAAGCCTGCAATTATCCTCGACTTCTCAGATCATTACAAACGGTAGGGGACGGAGGTCAGGGTAGCAAGGCCCCTACATTATACTGGTGTTGTTTATTCATCAGTAAAAAAACACACGCGATGATGATGATCTTCACCTGCTTGTTGATCGGATTTCAATTGGGCAAACACTTTTTGTTTTTCTTTAACTTTAACTCTAATTTGTCGCCATCCTTGCAACAAAATAAAAAAACCTTCCTCGTCTTCAAGTATCATTTTTCTTGATAGATCAAGATCGGCATCATCGATCTACTTGAGCTGATGAGGTAAGCACTTGCGCGCGATTATATTTCTGTGCTAAATCAATGCTGAGAGCATACACGCAGACACTTTCCACGCGATGACGATGATGATGATGATGATGATGATGATGATGATGATGATGATGATGATGATGGGGCACGCCCCGGCCTTCGTAGTTCGCACTTCTGATGGTGAGACACCACAAACGCCGGCCAGTTCCGCACTTCTGATGGTGCGCGTCAGGTCGGCTGCCAGTGCAGCCAGGCTTATGCTCTTGCGTCATTATACTCCCAACGATGAATGCAACACCAGGAGCCCAAGCCGACTCTGCGAGAGGTTTGCGGTGCTCTAAGTTTGATCCTGTCTGCTCCCGGAAAGCGATCCACCCAACGCAGTACGGGCGAGCAAGGGTGTGAAGGAACCCTCTGCGTTCGTGATGTGGGCGAACATCTCAAGAGGTGGACAAGGATTCTGGAGGTGCCTGGGCCACCCTTTGCTGGGGGGGGCGACTTAAAGCGCACCGGCGCGCTCTATATCCAATGTTCCTGATGGCCGTATCAATGCGTCTTCGCTACGAGCGTCGTGCTGATTGATTTTGCCACGGTCTTGCAATGTCGGCGGCGGGCTGTAAGCCTTGTGCCGCGTTCACCGCGCATCCTGCAGTCTAGCGGATGCTACTGCTGCTCCATCTCTCCACAGAGCGAGAAAGGAGGAGGGGGGGAGTCTACTACAACTTACGAGCAGGCCCCCCGATGTCAGGGCAGCCTCTACGGCAGCAGCCCGGAGGCAGACGCGGACGCAGGGGAAAGGCGCAGGGGCCAGCCCTGCGAGGGCCTTGCATGCGTCCACGCGCGTAAGTAAGAGCAATGGGGGGCGGCGCAGCCCAATCCTCCGGACGCGGGCCCATGGCTTTCTGGTGCTTGCTAGGTGGCAGGGAGGCGCACGGCAGTCGCGTGGCTTCGTGTCTCGCACATCTTTGCGCGCTCGTATTGGCGTTCCATTGCCGTATGCTCCGGGGCTGCACATGCAGCCGATCGGATGCAACGGGCATGCCACAGGGGAGGCTGCAGTGGCGTGGGCAATGTTTTTAGACGCTGAAGGCGGCGCGCGATGGTCTAGCTGCGAGCTAGACCGGCTGCGACGAGCGTTCCACGGACCAAACTAGGCCAGACGCTCCACAGGCCTCGCGTAGCTGAGGCGGATACATTGCCCCACTCTGAGCGCGTTGGCAGTCGGTCCTGGCATGTGCTGGGTCCTAAAGATAGACCAAGTACTTTTGTGCTCCGAGCACATGGGCTCCCTTCCCTACAAGGGCGGGAAATGTTGAGAGCATCAATCGCGACACAGTACGTAATTTAATCAACTGAGGAACGACAACAAGATAGCTTTCCAACGACTTCGGTACTTCCTCCGCTTCGTCTCTGTATCTTGAGAGAGACCCTCAGACCCAGGCTCATAACTCAGCTACAATTTGAGTCTCTTCATATGGGTGCTGTCATCTTGCGTCTCAATTGAGGAAGAACTTCTGACAATCGTAGTCGTCGCCAAGCCCGCTGATGTATGATGCGCACACGAACGGAACTTACTACCAAGATTCAATTACTGGTCCTTTTCCTTTACGTTTACTTTTTCCAGTTGTTCTGATGCATTATTATTCGTGATTCGCGCTCGGGCATGGGCTTTTTTTCTAGCCGCCGAGCCCGGACGGACCGCGAATGCCAAATTTGCGGATAATTCTTTCTAATTCTTTCATCGACGCGCCTTGTGTCTATTCATCGACGCGCCGTAGGAGTAAAAGTAGGGTAATGGCCAAGGGTTGGCCCTTTCGCTTTAACTCCACACGGCGCTGGTAAAACTTATTCTGTCCGTTAATTTAATTTCATTTTCAAGCCGCAGCCTCTGTGAAATATTTATAAACTGAGGAAAGATATCATCAACCGCAGAGAAAGCTCCGACAGCGCGCTCCTCGTTTGAAGCTTTCGACATTGCTGTTTGTACACCTCCTACACGCGGCGGCCTTGTAGAGCTACAACTGCTCGCTGTCGCTATGCTAATGCGTCTTTATATTTTTGATTTTGGCCGCTTTTCATTTATTTTATCATTTGGCTTTGCATATATATCTATACACTTACACGAGCACTACATGTACATCGGAGGTTTGCCTTCGCAGATATTTTCTATATTCTGAAATCGTTAGTTCTTCAGCTAGGAAACTCGTCAGAAGGAGCAGAAGAAAGTGGCGGGCACATACTTTTAGTTTTACTTACACGCGAAGAATGTGATTAGCATTAAAGCCTCTATCTCATACGTTATTCCGCGCTGCACCACAAGGTCACAGTAGAAGGTTGCTCCTTCAACAATCAGTTGCTTTGGGTTGAGCTGCTGAACAGGAGAGACAGGTGGAAGACGAGAACCATGTCAGACGTCAAATCGCTTCGAACGAGGGCGGAGTGGCAGCGACCTCAGCGCTCTACTACATCAACATCACGGTCGTGCTGCAAAAACTTAGTGTAGCTCCATCGTTTTCTGCGGGCTGATGACGGCGTGCGAGTCTTTGTCTTTGAAGTTGCAGCCGCACGGGATCGCGTATGGCGACGCAATCTATTTCAGCTTCCAACTATGTCAAATTTTGTTGCCTCACCTTGACCTCAAACAGCTACATGAAGTGGGTGCCTGCCTTGGTTATAGAAATTGCATGCGCCTTTATTCTTGTGCGCTCGTCTTGCGTTATGCACTGGGACTGGCAAACAAGTAGCTTCATACATAACTTAACACGAGTCCTCGTCTGGTCCTGCTTCGGAGACCTGCACCTGCTGCTGCTCCTATGTTTTCGCTCTCTTGTGGCCTCCTCCAGTGCCCTTCTCTTGGAGCCTCTTCCGGGGACCCCCGAAGGCCCCCTCCAAAAAGCCGCACTATTTTGGCACGTCATACCGACGGTTGAAGGGGTGCACCACTACCCCGCTACGGTATAGGCCTTGGCGGCCCTCCTTCCGGAGCCCTCCTTCACGCACACCCCTGGAATAGAGGGCGTCGAGTCTCATCTTTCTGCCTTGTTTGTTCAACGGCGCAGGACCAGACACTCTTCGTGAATATAACTCCTATTGCTGAGCTGCGCGAGTTAAAACTTTGCGACGGGGAGGAAAATCGCCCACGCCGGAAATTTTTTGACAATTTTGAAACTTTCCAAAGCTGTCGCGATTTGCGAAATCGCCCACCGCCCAACGGCCAACGGCAACCGGCCAAATCGCAAACGGCCAACGGCCAACGGCCAACGGCCAAATCGCAAACGGCCAACGGCCAAATCGCAAACGGCCAACGGCCAACGGCCAGCGGCCAAATCGCAAACGGCCAGCGGCCAAATCGCAAACGGCCAACGGCCAA